TCAAAGGGACCCAGCCAGCACACAGCCACCAGCCCATAGTCACCAACCTGTCACTCAGCCACCACAAGTCACCCACCTGTCACTCAGCTTCCTTTCATCAGCACTCACTAAATACACTAGCAATGTGTATATCTAACAGCTGCAAAAAAAAAAATTTGCAACAAGACATATGCAGGGCAGTGAAACCTTTCATTTCTTCTAATGGAATCATGTTAAGAGGCTAAATTTCCTCTGAATAAAATCTGCAGAGATTACAAAATCCACAAGAGATGGAAAAATAGTGAGGGCACAGAAATGGCTGAGATGTAGAGAGACTGAACATGCAAATAGAAAATTTGCAAAATTAAGTTCAACTTGAAAAAAATACAATACACCTATGTTTTTTCTTAATAAAAAAGAAAAAACCTCCAGACCACACAAACCTAGAAAGCAGCAATGGGTAGGAGACTGAGGGTCAGTAACAGATAGTAAATTAGACATGAGTCCACAATGCAGTCTGACAGCAAAAAAGGTCAACACAATTTTAGGCTGCATATGCAGAGACAGCAAGTAACAGGGAAGTAATGGTTTTTATCTATATTGATCGGGTGCAGTCTACTATGGAAAAAAACATGCTCAATTCTCTGTTTTGTGTAAACAAAAACTAATGGCAGTTTGGAGGGACTTCATAGAAAACAGTCACAGAATAGCTTGGAGGGCTAGCAGAACTAACCAAGGAAGATGAAAAGCTAGCAAAAATAAAAAAAAAAAAAACAAACCACAACAACAACAAAAAACCCCACAGACATTCTCTCACAAAGAAATTAGAACAATTCAAGAAGTTGACAAAAAGTTATTGCTGAGGATAGGCTAGGCAAACCTGCTCACTTTTGCACCAAAAGCAGTCAAGACTTAATTTGAGAACTACCAAGTCTAACTTGGAAGGCTGTTAACATCGATGGGGCAATTATTTTCAGAACTGTTGTCCTGTGTGAATGTCCAGCTGCAGCCTGGTAATTGTTTCTGGTTCACACAATAGCTAAGAAAAGCTCAACAATGTGAAAGACTGGAAAGAAGATGCACCAAAGAAGATGCAAAACTTACTCAGCATTACAAAAGGGAACATTAGTAAAACTTGGGGAAGAAAAATTAAGGAGTAGGCCTGGGCTAAACACTTGGGCAATATTCCTTAAGGCTGAGATCAATCAGTCAGGATGACCTTGTATCACCCTAAGGCCAAAATTCTGGCATAAGGGGGTTGAAAGTCTTGAAGCTGCATCAGAAGACTCATTATTGAGCTGAGGTGGACAACCAAGGCCAGTGTGTTCTGAATGAGTGCCTCAAAATGACTGGTGCAAGTTCCTCCTCATAACATCCTCAGAGGCAGTATAGTCCTAATAGTAAAACCCTGAGAAAAGTGAAGATTTCTGCCAGTATTAAGAGTTACCAGCACTTTCTGCTTCCCAGATTTCTGGGAACAGCTTGATCCCTTCACACTCTCTGCTGATCAGAAAGCAGTAAAAGTCTTTACTTTTGGCCAAGCTCCTGCAGGAATCCAAGCCTACAAGCCTGGGCTTTGCTTTGCACCGTCCTCATGGCTCCTGGCTGGGCTCAGGGTATGGGCTGAGCCTGCTCCTCTCTGCAAATCCACTGCCTCACAAAACAGTGAAGTCAGTAAGCAACCATGCAAAAAGCATCTGTGTGAAGAGGGAAGGCAAGATAGGAAAAAAAAAAAAATCAATGCCTGAAGAAAGCATTGGCATCTCAATATGCCATTCAAAAGCAAACCCATCTTGATGTAGAGCAAGATAGCCAATGGAAGTAAAAGGACTGGTCTTTCTCAACATCCTATGCCATTTACAATTCATTTAGGCAATCAGTATATTTCAACACTCCTTTTAAATCCAAGCTGGAAGTGCTTAGTATTGAATTGGCACAAGTTTAAAAGAGGGAAAAAAAAGGAAAAAAGCAAAAGGCAGTACAATAACAAAAGAAATCCCAATCCATCTTTTGACTGAGGTGCATTGCCTTGCTAATTTTGCTGTAGAAAAACAAAGCAGTTCTGGACAGCTGATTAAAAGAAGCTGTTAATTTAGAATAACCTGTTTGCTAATTGCCTTCAACCTTGGTCAGTCGGTTTCTGCACTCTAAACCCTAAAGGTAGCTTGAAATGAATGCATCTAGGGAGTGAGGAGTAATTAGTGCAAGCAGGCAGCCATGGCTGGAAGACAGAGGTCTCAGTGAAGGGAGGAAAGGTCTAAACCAGTGCACACGCTCCTAGGAATTTGCCCTAGTGCTCTCTCCCTCTGCTCCCCCTCCTTTTCCCTTCTGCTGCGGAGCTGCAGCTACAGCTGGAGCCCTCTGCCACAGCAGGGATGTCCCACTGCCCCTCAGGCACTCTGCCACCACCTGCAAAAAAAAAAAAAACTTTGCAGGTTGGGGGTTTTTTGGCACAAACAGCCAAGTGAGCAAAGATCCTGCATGCAGCCATGATGACTGCCTTCCCTCCCTAATCTGTCCCTCTCCTCGCTGGGAACCATGGGAGACAGCTCACTGGGATCCATGGCACCAGCCCCCCTTCTAGAAAGCTTCCATGGACAAATATGCAGAAGTCCTCCACCAGCTTGTGAGTACTGGGGAAAATATCTCCCTGCATCCCAGAATCCCAAAATACACCCCATGTAGAAATACAGCTTCCACCAAGACCTCACAGACAAAGGATGATTTTCTGTTTTCCCAGCTTGCTGATCTCCTCTCACTGGGGCAAGGCTGCCCCATGACCACCTTCAGGAAGAGAGGCTGAAGAGGGAGTGGAAAGGAAAAAAAGACTCTGGAAATTAGTCACTCGTTTTACAGGCTGCCTCCGCCTGGTTTGCCATGCGCTCAAAATAGAACAACAACTGACCTGTGAGTTATTTCAACATGAGTGTAACATTTAGAGGCACAAGGCAGGGCATACAGATTTTATCCTACTGATGTCTGTCTGACCCCTGCAAGTCCTCAGGTGACCCAGGCACACACAGCCGCTGCGGTCATCCGTTCCCTTCTGGTGTTCCCACTGCCTCCCTGGGTGCCAAGCAGAAACGTGGTGCTGGTTCACACTGTCCCAGGGGAAAGAAGGCTCCCTTAGAAGAGCAAGCAAGGCTAACAGGAGCCAGGCTTGTTTCCTTATAATAAACATGGCATCATCCTCAACAGATTTCCATTCTGGAAGAAGCCTAGTGCATTCTCCTGCAACAGTGAAGCAGATGCATCATGTTTAGAGGGAGTTGGGAGCCACAGCTCTGGAACAGAACTTCCAGCAAGCTGAGTATGCTGGGACCCACCATGCTTCCAAGGGACAGGAAAGAAAGCTGTGCTCAGGCGGGAGTTTGGCAACACAGCCCCTCCCTTCTTTAACTCCACCCCTTGAATGCCCACTGTGTTCTGACTTTTAATCCTTATTAAAATCACAGAATCATTAAGGTTGGAAAAGACCTCTAAGATAATCAAGTCTGACCTTTGACTGATCACCACCATGCCAACTAAATCACAGCACTAAGTGCCACATCTAGTCATTTCTTTAACACTTCCAGGAATGGTGACCCCATCATCTCCATGACCAGCCCATTCCAAAGTTTAACCACACTTTCAGGGCAAAAGCTGTTCCTTACCTCCAGCCTGAACCTCCCTTGCTGTGGCTTGGGTCTGTGTCCTGTCATCCTGTCACTGGTGGCCTGGAGGAGAGCCTGATCCCCACCTGGCTACAACCTCCTTTCAGGCATTTGTAGAGAGCAATAAGGTCCCTCCAGGCTCTTTTTCTCCACTTTAAGCACCCTGCTCCCTCAGCTGTTCCTCAAATCACTTAATCTCTAGACTGCTCACCAGCCTTGAGTGTGTGATTTGTATTGCAACAGCCTATGCCAAAACTGCATTTGGAAAGGAAAACAAACAAACAAAGAGACAAAAACCTTAATAAAAGCTGGTTTCTAGCTTATACCATACCTTAGTATAAAGTCATCCCAATAGGCAGAGATGGGATGCACACATATGTATACTTCAGCCAGCATCACACCCAGGTCCCCAGCAGGAACACACAGTTTTGTTCCTTTTATTTTCCTCTTAAACACAGCATAGCTCTAGGTTATTGTTTCTCCAGGGACAAGTACATTTCTGTTCTCCCCATACTGCTAAATCCAGTAGTGCCTTAAGAGGCTTTGTCTTAATTTTCATCACTGTTATCGATAGATGTATTGATACTGGAGGTGACCAGGTCAGGTTGTAATGACTCTCTGAACTCATGAGTTATTTATGAGCACCTGCTAATGTGCATCACGTGGAATTGCTGAGTTACAACACACATCATCTTGTAACCCCCATGTTCTCTCATGGAGAGCACAGGCTGCTCCCATTCAAAAAGAGTCCAATACACCAGTGAAATCCCAGCTGTACCACAACAGCAGAGGCTTAGCACCAGCCAGCACTTCACATTTGCCCCTTCACTGCTAACACCCAAGACTACCCTTTGCAAGATGTTCTCCAGACATATTACGGTCACAACACCACCATATGGAGGAAAAAAAAAACTGGACAAGAAAGGTGGATTTTTTCCAATGTTGAAAGTATTTTCTTAGCAAAAAAATATTTCTGAAAAAATTATATGTGACCCTAAAGGGAGCTTCCTGTATCTTCAAATCCACATTATCAGAGAGCAGCCACCTCTCATCCTTTTTGTTAGCTTCCAGGCTGAAGAGAGCAAACATGGACTTCCATTTTAGAAGGGAGGCAAGCACCAGCAACTACCCCAGATTTCCATGACAACTGCAAACTCTCAACACATCTTCCAATTTTGTTGCTGGTGTTTCTGTCTCTTGAGCCAATGCCAAGCTAACTCTAGCAGCAAAATTATCATGCAAAGGCATGTGGTCCATTAAAAATATGAGTCAGAGTTGCAGGGTGATGTCACATCAGCTGCCCCTGATGATAACTATCAAAAGTCAGCACAAGCTTCCAAATCACAAATGCCTTGGCTCTGATCCTATTTTAGTGAATCTGCTTTTACGATTAAACCATCACTGTAATTGGCACTGGAAGAGCATTGGCAGTCTGCTGTGGTCGCCTTCCCTGCAAAGAACGTTTGTGATGCTCATCTCTGAATGATGCATAGTGTCTGCCTGTATTCAGATTTAAAAAGAATTTAAAAAAAGAATGCATGAACAGCAGGTAGACTGGTCAGCAGTGATTCAGTCCCTGGCAGCCATGATGAGAGCACCACAAGCTCAACTCAGCCCTGCTGGAGGTGGATATTTCTCCATTTCCTTTCATGGCATTGCACCTACGTTACACCAGGTATGAAGTTTGGCTTTCTATCTTTAATAAAATATGGTAACTGCCTTTCACTGACTACCAGCATTTTTACAAGTGCTACACGCTAATTTGGGAAACAGCTTGAATGGTATTGTACTCCATAGTCAGATAGTGGGGAGAAGTCAGAGAAGGGGAAGAGACAGAGCAAGCAATGCATCTTGTGTACTTAAATAGCTGGGTTGTCGGAGGAAAAAAAAAACCCACATGCAGCAGCAAAAACCAACCAATGCCTAGGAGCCGGGGAGAGGGATTTACACACTTTACATTTTCTAATTTCCCTCTGGATAAGAATCGTGTAGTTTATCTAGCCTTTTAAGCTGTGGAAAAGGGGAGGAATATGGGGCTTTGAACACACTACCATTGCACGTGCCTGCATTACAAAACCTGTCTTTTTTTTCCCCCAAGCACAAACGGTAGATAAAATTTAAAAAATTAGGCTGGCATTGAGTATTGTGACACACGGGGCACTAAACGTTTGGGTGATTGGTGAATTTCTGAAATAGATTAGAAGTTAGCATGAGGCAAATGAAAATAACCTTCCCCTCACCCCCACTACTAAATAAAGCACAGAAGGGAGAAAGAATGGGGGGCAATCTTAGAGATTTCTCCTCCCCTTTTGTTGTCCCCCTCCCCTTTCCCGATATTGATATTGCTCTGCTTTTTGATCTCTGCACTTCTTTGTTTTGGCTTCACAGGTATCAAGGGAAAATGGCTAGCAGTGAGTTCTGTAGCTTTTCCTGCTCTACAGCCCCCCTGGCTTAGCCAGCTGGATCACACTGAATTAGTCAAGTACTTCATTATCTCCCTTCTCTGCACATTTAGCTCCAGGTAATAAAATGCCCAAACAAGAGAGCCAATGCCTTCTGCTGCACTGTCTGTGAAGTTTTGTTGTTTTGGCCAATTCTGCATATCAGCATTGTGCTATGGGAGGGCAACACTTTTCATCCCTTGCCTGCAGTGCTTCCCAATCTCCATTTAGTCACAGCAGTTAGCTAACCATGTAGCTGTTGATAACATAGCACAGTTTTGGAGCCCCTTAGCCTTCAGGAGGTCTGGGATTTCTCTTCCCAGTGTGGGCCTACAGGAGGAGAGGCAGCTAGCTGGGAGAGCCAGACCAATTACATGGTGAGGATGGATGCAGAGCTGCGGATGTGAGAATTGCTCTTATTAGCAGCCAGTGGGGTCGGAGTTTTGCACTAGGGCATTTTCTGCAGTGGTGAACTGCTAGCCAGATATCTAGGTCAGGTAGAGAAAGCTGTAGAACAAAATCCAGGCAGTTGCTTCGTGCACCCTTCTATCGTGAGGCGCTGTGCTACACAGAGGAAGGGAGTTTTTTATTATTATTAGTCGTGGTGGTTTTATTTTTTTTCTCCTGACTCATTGCAATATAATGGCAGCTTCTCTTTTTCATTTGTATTCTTCAGAACAAATGCTTAAAATCCATTTTAATGTATTTTTTTAAATACATTCTTCTCCTCCCCCTGCTCCATGGGATTTTTTTTCCCCCCTAAGATGACCTTTAGTTAAAGCCATAAACTAGCTTGAGGCAATCTCTGGCAGCTCTGTCATGTGATGGGCAAAATGGGCCATATTTAAATCACATGAAAAAGAACAGAAAGAATCTAGTTCACCTTATTCACAATGGTCAGTGCTAAAAATCTCTGAAATGTTCTCTGTTTAGGGGAAGGCATGAGAAAAATACATGCTGGAAAAAAGTCTACCATACATAGAAATCTAAGTTTCAAGAAATCAGTTTTCCCTGTATAAATAAAAACAAAAAATGAAAGATAGGAGAAGGTATGCAATTTTTTTTTGCAGTCACCTTTCCCCCACCCTTGTTCAATCAAGTTCTCCAAATTTCTTGTCTGAGACATTCAGCCCAGAGGAAAGCGGGTAGGGAAGAAACATGTGAACCAAATTCCACACTAAGACACGTAGCGTTAAAGAAATTCAAATTCAGAGCACTATAAAAGCAGGGGAAAAAGCTATATATGCATATTATAGATTTGATTCACAGCCTGCTGAAGTAAACAGCTGACTCTATTGATTTCAGTGATCTGTAGATCAGTCCTGAGCGACAAAGAGAAGGACCTCATAACAAAGGTCCAGACTGCAGCATTTAGATAAAAAAATTAACAGCAAAATACTGCTAAATTAATCCAACTTCTTTTGATTATTGATGTCCTACTGTTTTCTGCCTGAAACAACATACATGATGCATCAGTCATTTATAAATTATTCATTCACAGTTATTTTGGCAGCAGCTTCTTTCCATTTATCAACTGATAAACGTACAGGAGATAAGAAGGGTAATTTTATAGCCCCTTGACATTTACCTTTGACACGATTTCCATATTTAATAAGGTAAAATATAAATGACATTTTGGGGATTCCAAAGTCCATGTTATAAAGCTTCACTTTGACTTCTGTATCCACGTCACTTGAGATGAGCGAACCAAGCACAGAGAAACCTCACGTGCACACAAGTCCCTCCGAGCTGGCTTCTCAAGTGTGATTTCAGCAGCCCTGAAATGTGCTTGCTGTACCACCAAATTGCAGAGCCTCTTCACGGCTGCAGTGGGAAAGATTATGGTTGACTTCAGAGGCTTGGATAACGTCCAAAGAGCCACAGCTCTGGGGACTGTTGAAACCATGAGACATAGCCAGGTCAAGAATTTACTGTTGCCTGGCCTTGTTTCTAAAGATCTCATTCATATTCCCACACACAAAGCTCTTGGCCGTTTCAGATCTTTGCCCAATATGACTAAAATAGTCATTCCATATGCTCAGTGAAATTACATCTTAAGAACCCTGAGGTTAAGATGGGGAAAATCAGGTTCCAGATATTCAAAAACTACATCTGTCTCACTGTCCATATTCATCTGGACCTTTGTAAGGTCTGCAACACACTGGGCTGTGGTACCACAGCACATGACATGCGGTTGCCACACACCGGCACAAGTGTGAGCCACTCCAAGCAAACAAAAAGCAAGTGGAATTACTTCCATCCTAGAAAAGAATGACAGAGCCTTTGAACAGCATCTGTCCTATTTTTCAGTCTAGCCTTTGAGACAATTAAAGACAGACTTAATTTATTTTTTTTAAGAGGAAAATAAAAAAAAAAACCCACACTGTTTAAAACAGCAGAGCAGGAATAAATTGTAACTGTACCATTAATCCCAAGATCTACAGAGACTACCAAAATCCTCCACACATGGTAAAGTACCAAGAGACCACTGTGAAATTTGTATGCCACTTCTACAAGTCCTATAAGTATTGCACATTATGCATCTAGAAGTAATTACAGCACAGCCAATTAACTGTTGACTTGCTCTTGCCCTGTAATTCTAGACAGTATTCTTTGTGGAGTTGTTCTTTCAGGAGCAATATTATACAAGAGACATTAGCTGCCAGTTCGTACCTGCACGTACTTCAATAAAACCCACTACTGTTCACATGCAAGACACTGAGCTCTGCGCAATACCTAAAGGAAACAAATGGGAAAACTTCAACTGACAGATTAAATTGGCCAGGATAGATTTCAGAGAAAAAAGGAAATTTTTGGCAACTGGGATCACAGCATAGTTTGATCACCAACATCATCCACAAGTGTCATCAAGATACAGGTTTTTAGAGGTCACATACAGCCCAGCCCAATTCCCCTCTACAAGGTATTTTTTCTCCACACTGTCCTTGAAAAGCCAAGCTAAACAGTCTCATGTTATGTGATGGATGTTGGAATATGAAAGGTCAATTAGAAGCTGAGTTACATTTTTTTTTTAAAGTGCCAACAGATTAATGAATTCTGCACTAAGGAAAACAGTTCAACAATACCCACCTGCTCTCAACAACACATACAGCTTCCACATTCATGGCTAGGATGGAGGAAATGGGAGCAAAAGTGGTGAGATGTCCTGTCATCAAGCCACTATACATATAATTGAGGTGTTATTACTACTATTTATTCCAAAGAAAAACTAACAAAGCAGAACTCCAGAGGTCTGGGTTAAGTGTTAAGTGTTTTTCAAAGTCAAATTCTTACATAAAACTTTACATTTGGGAGGCTTCTTACCATAGCTTTTGTGCTGGTGAAAGCTGCCGGACCAACAGCTCTGGAGGCAAAGACCTCCTGCCTCCTCAAGGGAAAGGGAAGTACCGAGAGAGCTGTGCACCTTTTCTGCAGCAGGGCAGTGAGAAACTCAGGTCTAGAGGCACAGATTACTGGGCAGGATGGGAAGCAGTAACCTAGGGCTGGAAGATACCACCCAGGTCACCTGAGATGTACATGTTAGAAGAATCCCCTACAAAACCACAGTTTCCCATGTACACCTCACACTGTGCCACACCTGCAACACTTCTCCCTCCCTGTGCCCCATAACAAACTTCAGAGACTAGCTACAAAAGACCAGGCGACTCAGAACAAAATTATCTTTTCCTAAAGTCCTTTCCTGCATTCTGTCCAGAAAGAGGTGATTTTCAGTCTTAGTACACTATGGTTCATGCTTCCATATTTGTTGGTTTCTTAAGTAAGACTTAAGTTTTATTCCAAATATATGGCAAGCCCCAGGGCTCAATTCAGATAAGCATGCTTCTGTTCCAGTGCCAAAAAAAACATCCTTTTTTTTTTTCTTGCAGCCATCATAAACCAGTCACCCTAGAAAAACCAGCTCTTTGTTCTTGGGGAAACAACAATTGTCAGAATATTTTACATGTAAATGAAACATGGGAGCTCATCTTCCTCTTTTATTTGTCATTGCAAGCTTTCCCCATTTACCATTCTGCTCCGATTTTCCCATTTAGCAGTGTATGGAATCTGCAATAGTGCATATTGTAATATGCAAATTGTATATAGCATTTTGGTGTCAGACACACTGAAATTAAATCAAATGGAAGAAAAAAAAAAAAGAGAGTGTAATAAAGGTACCTTTATGGCCTCAAGCTGTAGATAAATTGTGGTCTGTGGTAGTTAAACAACAGCTGTTCAGATTTAAAACAAAATTATGATAAGGATCCCCAGAAGATAACACCTCTTGAGGTAACAGCATTTACCTAAATGCATCTGTTAGCAGCAAACACTGTGACTTAAGACTGTTTATGCAATAGTTTATTCCCATTTGTTTTCCTTCTCCTCCCCCCGCTTGCGTTGTTCAGCGAGAACGAACCCTTCCACAGCAATACCAACCTCGGGGGTCCCCAAGCACTTCTGCACCTGCCTCGGAAGGACAGACAGACTCTCCCAGCTGCCCACAGGTGGAAGCAGGCTGCGAGCCCTCCATGCTGGTAAGTGCAAGGATTATAGAACAGCAAGAAAGCAAATTGCTACAGTTAAAGAAAGAAAACAGCAGGACTAACACGTTTTAGTAGGGGTACGTACACTGAGACTCAGCAATCTTTATACTCTTTGTGAACAGCAGTTCTTTAAGAGCTTTACACCCAATAAAATTTAAACTTTTATATATTTTTTTTTCTTCGTTTATTGCACCGGAGGGTTTTATTGCAGACATGTAGCAAGCCACCCATATGGAATTTCAGCAAGTGGCAACCACGCTCAGCCTGAGTGCCTCAGATCAGCCCAAAACAAGCCTCAGGTCAGCAGCTTCAGGACTCAGTTTTTTGCGCGGGGTCATTTTGTTCCTTGTACTCCTTCCCACTCCCTCTTGGCTGTATTGCATTGCCTATCATGTTAAATAAATTAAAAAAAAAAAAAGTGGGGAGGAATTCCTACAAGAAAGGACTTTAGCTTCAGTCCCATGGCAGGAAAATAGCTGCTGGGGAGATTTGAATACCCAACTTTCTCTCTTCTCCCATCCCTTTCGACAAAGGATGCAGGCATGCTGGCAGTGCATGACAGCCCTCCATCCCATCCACTGCCCACAGGAACACCTACGTGCCCCTCCATCTCCTCAGCAAGCACGAGTTGAGCAACAGCAATTCATCATTGGGAGAAACATTAATATTTTACCTTAGTTACCAAGTGCACCCATTCAAACTTTTATCTAAAACATTCTTTATCATCTTTTCATTAAGTTCTCAAGAGCTAATGGTTTCTGAGTTCCCAGGGTAAGGATGATGTTCTGAATAATGAAAGCTCATTATTTCTCCACAGAATGCTTGTTAATTCAAATGATGATATTAAAACTATAGTAGCCTTTAGCGCTGGGGTGATTTCTAGCATACTTTATCATGTATCAATATATACTCTGTTTGTCAAAACTGCCCAGGGCTGGGGCTGACATTCTCTCTGGAGGAGTCTAGTGCTTCAAGAGGCACTGAATACACCAAGGTGACAACTTGCAGAGTTTGCGCCTCTAGGAAATGGAAAGATGAAACTTGAAGTGCCATTGTCCCCCTTGATTTCCTTATTAGTATTCATAAAGAGACAGTATCCTCCTCTTTTTCTAGTCCTCACAGGCCTTTCTTTTGAATGAAATAAAAGGCGCACGCACATACAAAAAAATACACATGCACAAGTTTTATATATAAAACATAGCCCTTTGTTGCAATTTAAGCAATCCAAAATGTGTTTCTGGAGTTACAGGTAGGCATGCCGATTGCTTATCCACAATCAAATATTTAAAAAAAAAAAAAAGTACCCATTAAAGACAAGGCAAAGACATTTTTTTGTGCACTATTGTTTTTTGCATCTGCCTTTTTCCCCCTCACATCTCTCCATATAGCCAGACTATATTACCCAGCAGCTTAGCTGGAAGCTCCCTGACATCATGGCCCATTTTTCAGCTTTGATCACAAAACTACCATAAACATTGTCAAGGCCTCATTCTCCCACCATTGTGCCCCCTCCGAGAAAAAAAAAAATAAAAAAAAGGGGGGGGTGGGGAGGGAATAAAAAAATTAGGGAAAAAACTCCATCCATATGGAATCCCTTAGTGAACATTAAAAATAGAACTGCGATGAAAAGGCCAAGTAGAGTGGTCAAGAGGCATGTTTCTTCAAATAACATTACATTTCCTGCACAAGGACTACTTCTCCCACCTCCTACGGCCTGCATAAATATGCACACCCTTATCTGACCACAAATTGTATCATCACCTCTCATCAGGTCTCTTGCAATAGCAAGCCCTGGCACAGACTGGGAAGGAAGATGCTCAGACTCCAAACTGGTCTCCAAGCCCTCATCAGCATCCCTTGTTTCTCTGAATGCTCAACAAGGTAAAAACTGAGGGTTTGTAATTTACCAAGCCCCTCCTGCTTCCACCCCAATCCCTCCGCTCTTTCTCCTGCAGTCTCCCAGAAGGAAATGTAATTCTGAGCATCACAGCAGCCCTGCTGGCTGCTGGGAGCAGCCAGGTCAGCATTCACGTGTGCTACAACACACGGCTCCGCACCGTCCTCACGTAATTATCTCTCTCCTGAAAGATTTGTTGGACTTTTGCCCACAGGCAAAAATAATAAGAATATGGTAAACTTTTTCCAGCTTCCCCTACTGGCCTATCCTTAGAGTAGGAATTAAATATTAATGTGCTTTAAACCACCTAACTGGCTGATATTTTTCAGTTTTGCACAGAGGTGAGACCGAATTGCAAGTTTATTTATGCTGCCTCCCATTCTTAGGCAGAAAATACATGTGAAAAACGCATTTTCAGCCCTATTGCACAGACTTACAGGAAGAGAAGGACAACCATGCCATTTCAGCATTCCTGTTCACCTGGGGGCATGCTGTCATCTCCAAATGTCCCAGCAATGTTGGTCTCCTCTGGAGAGCCCCAAGGCTGACACAATGCTCAGCCCATGGACACTGCTCCTGCCTTCCAGAGGTGGCTCTCCAGGAGCCCCACACCAAGCTATGGGTCTGGCTGTTAATGCAGATTTCTCACTGTGCTTAAGGCCCCAGTTATGCCAGAGTCCAAACCAGCTTAATGAGAGAAGGGGCAGAAGCAGTTATTGCTGCACAGGTCCCTCAGCCACAAGAGGGATGTTTGCCCTCAATGCCAGGATAGTGCTCCTGGAGGAATCATGCTGTGGAAGCCAGGGCATGGACAGTGGCACAGGGACAGGACAGCATGGCTATCCAAGTGCAGCTGGTGCCACACACGAGCAGCACTGAATTTGCCACAGCCCTGCAGAGCCACACAGGGTTGCCTGAGGGACAACCCTGGAAGCCCCAACCTCTCCTCAAACTAACATTCATAAGGTAAAACCCACAGCAAGGCCCATAGCTGTGCCGATGTAGAGGTATTTTCAAACACGTTGTCATCGCCCCCACAGCCCATGTGTGCACTTGTGACTGGAACCAGGAGCACAGCCTGGGGGCTCCAGGGGGGACTGCACGCCGTTGTGAAATGTGCTTATCTGCAGAAAATGAATTGTGAGAGAAAAATAATTGTGTTTCGTGCCTTCTGATGGTTTGAAAGAACCCATCAGTACTGGGCAGTGTTCGTTTCATCACTTTACGGCAGAAACGGATTTTTCAGTGCAACATTTGTATGGAAAAAAAGCTTGGTTCTTTCATTGATTTTACTCTATTTTAATGACATCCTTACCATGCAAAGTCCAATTGACTGGTAGAAATATGCCTGATGAGAACAGAGGTAGTGAGAGGGAATAAACCCACATATGCCTCTCAAGCTGTTCCTGCTGTACCTTTCAGTTGGATCTACAGAGCCGCACAAAAGTTGTGAAACACGCAGGCTAAACTATTAGTTATTTAGTTCAGTGATAAAGGGTTCAAACCTGCAGGCACACATTTGTGCAATTGTATGTGCATGAGCAGGGATGCTCTATGCTTTTCACACACAAACATCCATAAAACACTCCTGTCCGACAATTTTTTTTCTTCCCAGCAAATGTCAATGAAGCAGCCTTTTTTCTCTGCAGGGCTGGGAAATACATTTTTCTGTCTTCCACAAAGATTTGGAATTAAGGATTCTGACATGCTCAGATTTTCTAGCCAAAAGACATTGAATTTAAGTGGAACACAACATTCCAGCTTTTGTCCTGAATCTGGACTGCTTCTTCCACTAGCTCCAGACACACTTCCTTTCCTTATAAAGTACCCCAAAAATAACGAAAAAAAAAAAAAAAAACTACAAAACCAAAAAAAGCTTATCACAAAGTCTTCAGACATTTTTAACAATCCCAAAAAATGCGAACTTTAAAAAAAAAAGGGACAAGTGCTGTTGACAGAGTGCAACACTGAAAACGCTCTACTTATGAATCAAGCTAAGGTGGTTCCCGCCACCCCCTTTAGTTTCGGGGTTGAGTCTATATCTATTAACTCCTCTTGGCAAACCTGACATGCTTGCAGTATCAGAAGGGAGTGAAAAGAGGATGTGGACAGCAGAGGGGTGAAGAAACTGTGTCCCTGAAGTTGTGTGGCCAGCACCCTTACCAAACCAAACCTGAGATCTAGACTTTACTGAACTACCCTGAAGTCCTGGGCTTCCAAAACCTTTTTCTTCTTTTTTTTTTTTTTTTTTTTTTTTTTTTTGAGGAAGACTGGCTAAGTGAAAATCATTTGCAAGCAAAGGTTTGTCAAGAGCAAGGCCCTAAGTAGTTCCATGCTCATTTCAGAGGGTGACAACTTGCAGGACCGAATCCTGTGCAGGTTTCCTTTGTGCATTGGCATGCACAGAACCACCACAAAGGAAAATGTCTCAAAAAGCAGAGCCCAGAGAATCCACCAGCATTGCCCACACAACGTCACAGTGAGGAGGAGATTACACAACTTGACTAGTTTCTCGTGTAATTATTTTGAAAGTGGCTTTTGCAGTGACTGCTGCAGCACTTCCAATGCCAATTATTTTAGGTAACTACAAGTCACTTGGTCAAGTAAAAGATTTAGGAGAAACAAGAATGGAAAATGAAATTTATTCATAAATATTTTTTGCAGTGGTAAATCAAAGCAATTCATCATCAAAATTAGAAATGTATTTTGTGCAACTCAAAATTCCCACATTCAGAAGATGCCAGCACCTTGCAAGTCAAGGGCAAAAAATAATTAAACACCACGCTAAATGCCCCGAGACACAAAAATCCAGAAAATTAGCAATATCACCCTGAGAAATTTGCTGGAGAAGCAGGAACATTGGAAATACCAAATCTGACAACATAAATGGAAGAAAAATAAAAGTAAAATTAAGTCTTCCTAAAGGAAGACATGCTTGGCTAGCAACTCCATGATCACTGCCTGAAACAATGCTTTGTGAGCGGCTGATAACCCTGCAACACTGCATGGAGAGAAAAGCAGGTGTTTCTGCAGATGGCCAGGACAGCCAGCCCAGGCTCCCAGCTCCGTGTCTGTTCCCTTCCCAAGGATCAGGAGCACCAAAGGCAGGTCTGTCACAGCCCCTTTCATGACAGCTCTCGGCTCCTCCGCTGCAGCGCACACTGGACCAGAGGAACTGGTTCTACACGCCCTGGGAAAAAATGACAGCTTCTCCTTGCAAGCTGCACCGACCATAAAACGTGGAAGAGGCTTCCCTGCATGCCCAAACCTGCCTCTTTCCAAACGCCTGCACACCCAGCGCGGCAGGGCAGGAGCTCCGAGGAGAGCACTCCTGGCTGCTCTGTGGCTCAGCTCGGTGTGCAGCCCCTGCAGGTCACAGTCCTGTCCCCAGCTCAGTGGCCTCTTTGCTCTGCATCCCTGCCCTGCCTTTCCTCCTCCAGCCCTCTCACTCTCCTGCTCTTGGAGCATTGGCCTCACTCTGAAAACGGCAGCAAAGGGTCCAAAGCATGGCAAGGGGCCAGCCTTGCGTTGCCCTGAGGTAAAAGGAGCCAACTGTTTTTTCCTGGAACGTGCTCCAAATTTCACACTTTTTTTTCCCCACAAATGTGGGAAACAAGCAGCAACCCTTTGTACAAAAGGGTATTTTCACACGTGCAGATAAGGCATGTTAATGCACACTGTGCTGCTCTCCCATGTCCTCCGCAAACCTGAACTTTAATCACCTTTGAGAGTCCAATTAAGAAAAAGAAAAAACCAACCCAAACAATAACCCAGGTCTTAAATTGCTGAAAACACCATTCCTACACATTCTGCCCTATACCAAAATGCTGCAATTCCTTTTAGGCCTCCACAAACCCCAGCAGCCAGAGCTACACAGGCACCAGATGAAGAGCAAGCGTGCTGGCTGCAGAATCTCTATTGGCATCACTGAACCAGAGCCCATGGCAGTAAAGCCCCTGTGCAGCCCAGTAGCCAGGTCAGTTACCTCTCTTCCCACTTCACATTTCAAGTCAAGCAGGACAGAGAAAAAGAAAAAAAAAATTAGAAGGGTGGAAAAAAAAGAAAAAAAAAAAAAGAAGAAGAAATTCCTACCCTCTGTCCTACCAGATTTCACCTCCATCCACAGTGGAATACCACCCGGGGCTTTTGCAAACACATGAAGCTAAAAGACTGCTTTGGGCTGGGAAGCACAGAAGAAAGGGGAAATGCATTCATATATACACAGTAAGGATGACTAGACAAAGATATAACATCACTTTACCACGAGGAAAAAGAAAAGAAAAATAAAACAAAGCACCCATGCTGGCAAGCCACCCCAAGCTGAACAAACAAACCTCATGGCTCAGTTAACCTTTCCAGAAGTACTGGTCTCAAGTCAGAACTTTATTTGAAAGTCTTTCTTAAAAAATTAAACACAAACAAATGGTATAAGGCAGAGAAGAGTAAACCTTGAAAGCCACAAGGTTTGGGGCCTTAGGCTATTTCTCAATATCCCTCAAAAGTTCCAGGCATTTTGCCAGCACAAAAATCTACCTTCTGGTGCATCTTCATTCAACTTTGCTTACATCCAACCTTACACTTTTACAGTCCTTTGGCTGCTATAGTTGCTCATTTAAACATCAGGGGAAAGTCTCCTCACTAACTTCTGATAGCCATGTTTCCATGAGATTTTGTTTTCTCTCTGGTTATCAATGTCAACAAGGAAAAAAAATCAGATCATTCATACACTTCATAGAGAATTTGTTTTTACAAGTCTTCTAAACTCAAATAGGAAAGGAAACAGTAGCCTCCTACAAGGGTAGTGGGTGCTTTGAGATTTTTAAATGAAAATGGAAAGCTGTAACTAAAACAGGGAAAAAAAAAAACCCAAATAACGACATGTACATGGATTTGCCCACCCCTACCCTGCAATACCACAGCATGTGAGCCTGTACAATCTGCTGATGTGAAACATTAGCAAGACCAGACTGCTGAGGGATTTACATGGATGTGGCCACAGTATAAGGAATAAAGAAAATATCTATGGCTAATAAATATCAGAATGGTAAAATCAGAGTGGGGAGCGAGCAGGCACCCTCAGCAGCAGCTCTCTCCATCTGAACAAACTAAGTTGAACAACTGACCAAACTTTGCCAGAGGTTAAGAGGAAACCTACAGCAAGCAATACCAGGACTCAGATAATAAAAGCCCATTTTGTGTAAAATTTCCACAGAGATTTCCAGTAATTACTTTGAGGGGCAGGAGGGTTATCTTTAAATAAGAAGCAAAGATTGGGCCAAACTTGTCAACTTAGAAAATTCAGCATAAGATTGTTCACAGAAACGTTGCTCTTCAGGGGCTTTTGTGATTTGGGGTTTATTATGCAGGATCAAATATGGGGATTTTTATGAAAAGACTGAAATTTTTGTTTTCCTTTTAAATCAAATTAACAATTTTCAATTCTATAATATATTGAAGTTATATCTCTGAAGAAAAAGAAAATGAGGAGTGACATTCAAATGAAGGAAAAGCAGTTCAGTACAAGCATCAAGCAAAGTCCACCCTGCTTCAGGAAAATTTTATTCATGGCTCACATGAGTTGAAATCAAGAAGAGGCAACTGGGAAGCCAATTGTGATCAAATGGACCACTGAAAATTACTCAAGTAAGTAAATTCTTGGAATATGGTACTGAAAGTAGTAGGCCAAAGGTTAACAACTCAGATGAGAAAAGCAGAAGGATGGGTAGTTCAGGAGTTAGAAGCTCTCTAAGAGCAAACAAAAGCAAAAGTAATTGCAAAATGGAGATTGCAGCCCCAGGGGCCATCTTAAAGCT